AAATTTGTTATTTTATATATAAAAAAGAGACTAACTACATATTAATTTCAACTACCACCCTCAAAAGTACATACTACAACAAAATTGCTCTACAACGGTGTTTTTAGCGACATTTTAGGAGTAAACGCCACTAATTTTAAACATATAGCGGTGTTTACATATCAAACGCCACAACATGGTAACTTTAGCGTCGTTTTTTATAAAAACGTCGCTATAGAGTAGTACTTTAGCGGCATTTTTATACAAACGCCGCAATAGGTTCATCCATAGTGTCGCTTTTTCAACAAACACCGCAACAGAGTAGTACTTTAGTGGCGTTTTTATACAAACGCCGCAATTGGTTCATCCATAGTGGCGTTTTTTCAACAAACGCCACAACAGAGTAGTACTTTAGTGGCGTTTTTATACAAACGCCGCTATACACTCATATTTTAGTGGCATTTGTGTTTACAAATGTCGTTAAAGACTCGTACTTTAGTGGCGTTTTTATACAAACGCCGCTATAGAATTGTACTTTAGTGGCGTTTTTGTACAAACGCCACTATAGCCTAACGTGTGTATAATATATATGTGGACTGCTGGAGCAACAGATTTCGCCGTCTTATTTGGCTGATAAATCTCAGATTTGGAAACAGCTTCAGCACTACTCTCAGTTCCCAGACTTCAACAACTATCTCATTTTCATCCTAGCACGAGCCGAGGTTTGCTATCTCCGTTTATTTCCACGCCGACCAGCTTACATAAATTTCTTTCTCGGTTGTTTTTCGTTTTTCCCGAGGAACTGGATTATGGGTATTGATTGGGTTATATGTTAATGGAGGAGATACGATTACCGTTCCCATTTATTTTGGGGATTTTTTTATATTGGATTATGCTTCTATTCGATACTAGAATTGGGTTTTTCTAGGGTTAGTTACACTGTAATATAATTTGCAAAGATTATCCATTTCTTTGATGAAGTACATTCCGGGTATTTGATTGAATTACATGTTTAAAACTGAAAATACTATTTAATACTAAATTTCCTCAATTGGAGACGCGATATTTGAAAGTGTTCCCCTTAGTTATATCAAATTAAGGTTGGGTAATCCTTAACTACATGTATAGTGGGACATGAGGCAGTATTTAGATGCAAGTGACAGATATAAAAAACCTCCACAACGAGTGTTGCATGCAGATTTGAATCGTAGGCTTGTAGTCCATGGATAGAGTACAGATAAGAGCATAAGTTATGCAGAAACTGCATAAGCAGTCATTTTTGTACTCATGGTATGTTATCTTATGCGTTGATAATCTAACGATTACAAACTGAACTATATAATGGATTGATTAAGAGAGGATCTTATAGTTTCTTGCTAGCTTAAGTTCTCTACTTTGTCTACCTAGGAATGACCACAACTGCCCATCCTGATAGGTCTTCGTTATCCATATATTAGGTTAAGCAGAGTATATTTTTTTCACCTCCCTGCTGGAATTTGTGTACGGTCATTAATATTTTTGCCAGACTTGACTTTAATCTTCCAATTTCGTCTGTTGCATTCAGGACTTGATGCTTTCCAAGCTGAGCAAGTAATGGAAACACTCTGCCTACTTGCACAAGATGGTCATACTGTAATTTGCTCAATACATCAACCTAGAGGTTCTATGTATGACAAATTTGACGACATCGTGTTGCTAACAGAGGGCGCACTTGTTTATGCTGGCACTGCACATGATCAGCCACTGGAATACTTCTCCAGATTTGGGGTCTAATCAAACTTCGCTCCTGTTAATTACGGAATGCACTGCCTGCCTGAATACCATGGTTCTTTGTTTAGTTTTAAATTTTTTTATACGGATTGAGTGATTTTTATTGACAGTGACTTGTGATTGGAAGGTGCCTGCCAAAACCTGGGACATGTAATACCTTTGATTTAAAAATATTTAACCTCTAAAAGGTTCATGGTTGGTTTTAGGACGAAAATTATCCATCGAGTTTTCTTGCTAGGGATTCTGATTAGCATCGATATACTTGTACGCTGGATGAGGTTTCTAATGTAACACTAGCACTCGCATTATGCTTGAAATATAGCTGCATGTTTCCGCATATGTCTTCTTAAAACTTGGTAGTACAAGGAAAAAGATAATATTGCTATAGCTTCATCATTTACCATTATATTGTTAATGTGTGATACTGATGCATTGCTTTGTACGTTATCTTGTGAACTCGCTATGTTTTTTCATTTTGTTTAGGAAAGCGGATGATCTACACATATTCTCCACACCCATCATATATATATTATTGTTTCATTGATTTCATGTTTGAAACACTTTTGAAAATCATGAACTGGTTATTTTCTTCTGCTTTTCTTTGCTTTAATAAATAATTGACTGTTTTTCAAGCTCTGTTTCTAGATGAAATTATCTAACAACAATGTACCAGAATCTGAAATTATGAGACTTATGCTTGAATATTTGGTTAATCAACAGGTGCCAGTGCCCAGATCATGCAAATCCTGCTGAATTTTTGGCTGATCTTATATCCTTTAACTATAGTTCTGCTGGTAGTGTCTACTCTTCTCAGAAAAGAATTGATGCTCTTGTTGAAGCATTCCCAACACAGTCATCAGCCATGCTTTATGCTACTTCACTTAGCTGAAAGGCCTATCAACATATTTCTTCCTCGGTTATTTCAGGTGAAATGCATATTTGTATTTTTAAATTGTCAGCATTTTAAAATTTTCTAACTATATCTGTTTTTCTATGAGCAGTTTTTTCAGTCTCCCCATGCCTCTCTGAGAAAGCCATTATTGGGTTCTGTAAACCAATATATTATGTTGATGCCTTCTGTAAGTTAACTTAGAAGTTTGGACATTTATATTCTTCTTGTGATGGACGTTATTCTGAATTTCTGATGCTTTCAGGGTAATACCTGAATTGTGCCTTGATGTCTTTCAGGCCTTATATACATCCATGGATAAATACCTTCATGGTTTGTTTGCCCTTGCTAATGACCCTGCAGCAGAAGTGCGGAAATTGGTGAATAGTTTCTGCTTTTCTCTTTTAGTCTTATTGTATCGATAATCTAATATTTTCCATGGAATACTCCACTGTAAATTATTTCCTAATTTTCCTTATAATTTATTATTGAAGAGAAATAAAAGCTTGACATGAATTACTTATCATTTCCGATTTTCTGATTTGAACACTTATTTCCATGGAAGACTAGAGTTTTCGATATTAATGGTTCTTTTTTCCTTATTATGAGCCTTTTTGCGGTAATTGTATCAAAAAAATGCCGCTATAGATATGATCTTTTGCGACATTTGTTCCCAAAACACCGCTATAGATCTGACCTTTTGCGACGTTTATTATGAAACACTGCTATAGATCTGATCTTTTGCTGTGTTTTTTCCAAAAACGCTGCTATAGATCTCGACCTTTTACAGCGTTTGTTCCAAAAACGCCACTATAGATATCGACTTTTTGCGGCGTTTGTTCCAAAAACGTCGCTATAGATATCGACCTACGACGTTTGTTCCAAAAACGCCACGATATATCTTGACCTATTGCGGCATTTTTTTGATTTCAAACGCCGCTAACTTTAGCGGCGCTGGTATGCCCGACGCTTCTTGCGGCGTTTTTCCTATCGCCGCAAGTGTTTTTAGCGGTGCTTAAAAACACCGCTATAGGACTAAAAAATGCAGCTAAAACTCTATTTTGTTGTAGTGACAGATAAACTGAGGCTCTCAATAGGGGTTTGGAAATGCATTTGAGATGCATAATTGAGATCAAAGTGTCGATAAAATTAAGTCTGAGATTCTTTTAGGCCATTCAGATTATGAAATGAGTTGGAAATGTGGCCTATAAATTAGATTGACCAGCTTCAACTCGAAGACGCCTTATTTTTCATGCTTCTCAACTAAGACCATGTCAAGGATACCCTTCTAAAATAATGACCAACCATAATTGAATTATAAGGTGATAAGTTGTTCAACTTTGAAACAAATGATACCTTTAAAATTAAATATTTATAAAATTTTAAATGAATTATGATTTAATTTCGCTAATTCTGAGATTAAAGGGTCTTAAAGAATAATGAAATCAGATCGAGATATAATTTTATTTCAAAATTGAAAGAGTCCTACGAATAATTATTATAACAAATTCTGAGAGGGACACTAATTTAAGTGTAATGATTTCAAAAATATTAATGATTTAAAAAGGATCAAATTATCAAAGTTTTGGTATGGAAATTGCAAGAGAAATATGATGGATATCATCAACTATTTTCTCTCTCCTTTTCTATTCCTATTTCGTTATTTCTCTTGTATAGCAATCCACAATTATGGTTTATGTAAACGAGAAAATAATAATAAAAATGACAAAAAGAAGGAGAAACTAGCTTTGTCATTTGCTTGGTATAGAATTGTACAATAAATAAATTTAACTTAAAGTATTGCTCTTAGCTACCCTGTTGCTATCTTGCCAACTAACACCATTTCAACGAGTTTAGAATCACACCATCATCCATGAATAATTCCATATTTTATAAATGGGTAACCACATATTAAGTCACCAAAATGTTTGTGTCGTTTCATTTTAGTCATTCAATTATTCTTTTTAAAAATCATATTATATTTTGATTTTATTTTAATAATTCATCGTTAAAAAATATAAAACTAAAATATAACGTTAAATATAATTTAAAAAAAATTAAGTGATTAAAGTGAAATCACACAAATAATTAGGTGACCCTTTATAAATAAACACCCCCAACCCAAGAGAAAAACAAAACAAATTATCTTTAAGATCTGTTGACAAACTCAAAGTCGAATAATTACATTATGTAAAAGAAAAGAAAAAACAGAGCAAAAGAAATCCTCTGATGAATCTCAAAACACTGAAAACCAGAGAACAGATTATATATATATATATATATATATATATATATATATATACGGCAATTAAAAATTTGCCATTTCTTGCTCTAAATAAGTATATAAAAAAGAGAGAGAAAAAATTAAACCTGGGTTTTATTTTTGTCGGGTTAGTCCTCAAAACCTGTTTTTTTCCAGACAGCATTTCTAACACGACGCAAATCTCTTCCTTTCAAAGTCCTTCCGATTCCTTCATGAACCGAAAACGAAGCCCTTCTCGTCCTTGCCAAGTATTCATGCGGCGGAACCCTTCCTTCGTCATCACCCTCTCCGCCGCCGCCGAAGACGGCATCTTCGTCGGTCTTCCCGTGTTCTCTGTATTCCGCTTTGAGAATCTTGGACCAGTCCGGGATGTTGACCGGCAATGAAGCTGAAGCAGCTGCCATTTGGGGACACCTGTGTTTATTGTTATCATTGATCTGAATCTCCATCTTCTTGGAAACTTTCTTAGACGAAGCTAGTGAACCGGGCAATGGCTTCTTGGGTTCCGAGTTGGTCGTTGTCGGATCATTTGAATTGTTCCAGACATCAACCTCGTCGAAATCGAAGAGATTAAGAGGTTTATCAGATGAAGAGTTGAGATTTGCATCATCAAATTCCATGGTTGGGTAGATATATCTTGGTTTTGAGCCGAAAAACATCTTCATTGATGCCATTTTTGAAACCCCAAAACAAAAAAAAAACCAAAAAACAAAGGAATTAACAACACAATAATATACGAGGGATTTTAAAGAAGAAGAGGAGGAGAAATATTGGCTCTGTCTTGTTTTTAAAGTATTGCTTTGCCTTGCTTCGATCTCTTCTTTGGGGTGATACGGTTGATGATCATCTTGCATTTTATACTAGCGCAGAGGATAAGTTCTCATGAGTAAACGCAACGTAATAAAATATGGAGAGAAAAGTTTCCCATGTTTGCTTCCTCAGGATGTACATGTGGACTTCCCCATTTGATTTTCTCAATTATAGGTTTGATTTCAAGTTTCACAAGGTGATGGATTTTCAACATTCAGAGGATCTATTTTCGAAAGAGAAAATAACATCAGTGACAAAAAATGTCTTATAATATACGAATTTCATCAACTTTTTTTAGATTTGCCAAAATGACCAACAAATTCGTAACGCGATCTCAAATTCGCAACGCGAATTCCAATTTCGCAACTCAGTTTCCAATTTCGCAACACGAATATGTAAATCGCATTGCGATTTTCCAAATTCGCAACGCGAAAGTCAAATTCGCACACAGAAGTCAAATTCGTAACGCGATAGTCAAATTCGCAACGCGAAAGTCAAATGTTTTTACGCGAAACACAATATTAATTTCGCAACACAAATGTAAACATTATTATCGCAAATCATCTCTAACATAAAACCCTAAAGCACAACTCAGTCTCATCTCCATCTCTCACTCTCTACGGCGACATCCGTACCCATCTCCGACGAAATCCGTCCCCATTTTCGACGAAATCCGTTTATCTCCATCTCTCAGAGCAACCCTCACAACCATTCACGGTCAGAAATGAAAAATCAACCACTGATGGTTAGTTTTTTTAATCTCTTATTTTTATTTTGAAATTTGTGTATTATTATTAGATTAACCAGTTCACTGAGACTGTTAAATTCATTCGGTTGTTGCCAATACTGCTAAACTGTTTAGTCTTTAACCCTGTGAAGTTAGTATTTGTCTTTGTTTTGTCTTTTTGTTTTGTCTTTTCGTTTTATCTTTTTGTTGAAGAAACCCTAAATCACAACACGAAAATCGCAACGCGAAAATGAAAATCGCAACACAAAACTAAAATCACGTTGCGAATTTAAGTTTCAGAAACTTCTTTTATTCTGCAAATTGAAACTTGAATGAATTGCATTACTTCAACCAAAAAACAAAGACAAATACTAACTTCACAGTGTTGCTAATTTAAGTTTCAAGATTAAACTACTACTCTTTATGTTGTCCTTGAACCTGCACTAAACCTATATGTTGTCCTTTTAAATGTTTATATAAGTGCTTACTTCTGGAATGTTATCTGATGCATTTTGTGAACTATGATGGAATAATGACTTGGGTGAATATCGTGCTAGTTTGAAACATATTTGGCTTTGTTTTCACTGTTTAATATCATGTCTGTTTATAGTGTATAATTTGTAGTTTTTGATATATCTAACTTGGTATGTTTATTGTTTTTGTAGAAATTTTTTTCGGCTATATTGACCTTAAGGAATAAATTAAGCCTAGCCACTAAAATTGCGTCGACGCTTTCACCTCTACAAAGAAAATTGTTTGAGGATACTTGCTTTGGGCCATGGCTGAAAGTGCAACATACGGGTGGAGATGCTATGTTGACACATTTGTTTCTTCAGACCATGACTAACGATCTACCCGAGGGGGTACAACGTGGTGATGAGGAGATATGGTTTCATTTTCCTCCAGCACCGGCGTATGCTTGTTTTGGGCGGGAGGAGTTTTGCTTAATCACCGGTCTACACTTCGGACACGATGATGTAGGTCGGTACACTAGTCATATCGCCCGCCCATCATTGTTATATCGGGTTTTTCCTGAGCTAGCAAAGTCAAAACCGAGTATACACGTCGACGACTTGAAGAGATTATTTGATAAAGATGGTTTTACCCGGATGGATGACCTTGATGTTGTCCGAGTATGCCATTTATTACTTTTGCATGCTGTCTTTTTAGGCAAAGAGGGCAGACAACCAATCTCTGAGGACCTAATATTATTGGTAGAGGACCTAAATGCATGAAACCTGTTTCCGTGGGGTTCATATCTATGGAAAGCTACCTGGAAGAAGTTGTCGTCTGCCTTTGAGGACCGAAAAAGTTTGCAGGGCGATGGTTCTAAATACACTTTGACAGGCTTTACTTGGGCCTTTAAGGTAATAATTTCTATAATATAATGTTTCCAAAATTATAATTAATTATTTAACAATTACTAATGTTTGTGTATTATATTATTTGTAGATTTGGATATTTGAGGTTTTCCCCAGTATGCGGACATATGCGATAAAAAGATCAAATGATATTCCTAGGGCTATTACCTGGAAGAGGATCCACATGTTGGATTGGGAAGAGTTACTCCCATATACGACGATGAATAATGTAAGTTAACACACAAATAATACCATATAAACAAGTTGATTTCTAGTACAAGTTTAACTTTGTTTGAGCTTTTATATTGTTAGGTGGCCAACTATCCATTACAGAGGCTGGCACCCACAGAGGTTGAGCTTGCCACTGATTGGTGGCAAGCTAGTAAGCGGTTTTTTGATGGGACGGATGATGAGCACCCCCACCTCGAGAGCCATCACTTGATCGGGCCGATTCTACAGCTCGACACCCGGAGCCATCACCTGATCGAGCCTCTTCTCCACCTCCACCATCACCTATTCCATCACATCATCGAGCCTCTTCTCCACCATCACCTCATGATAGGTGACTGACAAAGAGGCCACGACATTTATCTCCCTGTTCTCCACCTCCACGGGATGAGTTAGGGGAATTACTTGATGAGGTCGGTACTTTGCGTCATGAGGTCGGTACTTTACATGAAGATAATGGTGCATGGCGCGATGAGGTTCGATCTTTACGTGGTGAGGTGGATTTTTTACGCGATGACAATGGTGCGCTACGCGGTGAGTTATCTACCTTACGTGATGAGGTTGCCGCTCTACGCGAGATTGTTTCATTGTTGCAGAATGAGGTTAATACTCTACGCAATGAGGTAAATTTGTTTAATACTATACTAAAAATGCAAATAACTTTTTTTTGGTATTATTTATTTATTTATTTACTGATTTATATATTAATTTATTTTCAGCGGCCCGATAAGGTAGATGCTTTACATAGGGTTTTTCTTGCACGATGGGGTTCACGCATCAGACGTCGTACACATATCATTACGTCTCCGTTCACCCCATTAGTGCCAAGACTCCGTAAGAATAAGCCCGATGCACCTATCATCATTCAAGAGGCGCCTCCTATCGTTCAAGAGGCCTCTCTCATCATCGAATAAGCCCCTCCCACCGTTCAAGAGTCCCCTTTCATCGTTCAAGAGTCCCCTTTCATCGTTCAAGAGGTCTTGTCTGCCGTTCAAGAGCCCGATTCACATGGCGTCATAAGTCGACATATTGATAAACCCCCTCCCGTGCCCGATATGATGGATGTGAGTTGACTTTCGTATGTGCTACTGGCCAGTACTATTCCTCAGCAGGAGAGGGAAACACTACCAGAAACAATTACAGATAATACCCTTTGGGCTAAGACCGCAGTTGATTTTTATCTACATGAGCAGAGCAAGGGGTGTTATTTTGACCTATGCCAAATTGACGATGCTATTCATTTGTTTCTTGATCGGTTTTGGTGGGGTATTTTATTAGGGGTTGAAGATAATGGCTACCTCGAAGGGGTGGTAAGTATTATATTCTTCTTATATTGCATTTTGATTAATTTTTTAAAATTATTAATAAATTCACTAATATATTTATTTTTTTATAAAACAACATATTGATGCATGGATGTCACGTCTTCTAATAATAAGGAAATTGAAGAAAAGAGGTACTCGATGGACTATTATGTTGACGTCTTTTCACGCAGCTCACTTGAAGGATCAGAGAGATGTTTTATATAAGTTGGCTAATGGAAAAGCTAAACTTTATCCTGCATGGTGGGAGGTCGATAAGGTTAGTATTTATTTTTTTTGAATATTTTAAAGGTTTTCATAAATTTTATTTGATGTGCGCAATCATTTATGATTGCAGGTGTTTATCCCTATTTTGGAACGTCGTCATTGGCTTCTCGTCGAGCTTCAGCTCCCATCCCTGAAGACAATGGTATATGACAGCATGTTGAATTACATACCATTGTTTAATTTGAGAGATATTATTACAAAGGGATGGAGCGATCATTTGGCTAAATACTTGAATGCGATTGATTATTGGAAAAATTCTGGAAACAAGAAGCCAAAGAAGTTCAAAATTACAATTATTAGAGACGAGACTGCGCCACAAAAAACGCAGGGAGCCAGAGGGGATCGTGGTCCTCTCGTATTCTTGTGCTTGGAATGTTTGACGACAGGAAGTATACAGTATCTACCTCCCACATATAGAGATAGAGATGCAGTAAGCTTGTGGTTTCGGCAATATATGGTCAGATCGATATATGCGAGACGTTGCCTACCTGCATCCGCGTGCTGAAAGTTGTATATAAACAATTGATAAGTTTGAGCAAGTGTTGTTAACATATATACTCTTTAATTGGTTTAAAAATATTTGGTTAAGTACCTATAATTCAGTAATTTACTGTTTGTTGGTTTTCGATGTGTAGAAAGTGTTGTTTGAGCAAATGTTTGGTTTCAGCAGGTTAATCCTGAAGTGAGCTGCGTGAAATGTATTTGTGCATAAACAACAGTCTGGGGTACACTTTTTTTTCTTTGTTTAATTGAATTTTACATTGAAAGTTGATTTGTTTAATTGATGAGGAAATAAGATTTATTTTTTGATTAATTTATTTATAAAATTTGATTTGTTTAATTTGATTTGTAAATAAGAATTATTTTTTTGCTTGTTTAATTGATTTGTAAAAGTTGATTTGCTGTTTCTAAAAAATTCAATCTGCATTATGTTTGAAGGCAAAAAAGACCTGTTGAAG